CACGATTGCTGCAGAAACATGAAAAACAAAGACAGACAGACAACTGGAACAGAGTAGAGTCCAAACACCGAACATCATCTATACAGTTGCCTGTTTTATGACTGGGAGTAGCTATTCAAAATAGATACTCCGAGCACAAAGAACCCCATAAAAAAAAAAAAACCTGGGCAAGAGATATGAAAAAACATTTCCCAGAAAAGGAAATTTACATAACCAACAAACACATACTGAGGTGCTTAGCACAATCAGAGAAATGCAAATCAAGGTCCTACAAAACACTTTCTTAAATCCATTTGATTGGTGAAAATTAGAAAGTCTGATGACTCAAAGTGTTGTTGATTCTGTGGATCTGTGCAATCCCTCACACCTGCGTGGTGAGAGTAGAAATTGTTTCAAGCACTTTGGAAAACAGTTGAATGTCATCTCCTGACACTGAGCATCCACGTGTCCCCCGAGTTTGCCACCCCGTCCCTAGGCATTTGCTCACAGGACATGCTTGCACGTGTACACAAGGGCATGTGTGAGAACGTCCTTAGAGATGCTGTTCACAAAGCAAACCCTGGAAGCAATCTAAAGGCACAACCACAGGAAAGTGGCCCAATAATTGTGACATTTTCACACAGAGAAGCGAGCTGCAGTGGCCTATAGCAATGTAGATCGATCTTAGCAATTCGGTATCTAGTGAAACTGTACGGTGGCCTTGTTAAAAAAAACACACAAAAACGGCTAAAATTAAAAACCTTTTAAAGAATACACATAGATACAAGAAAGCTCATTAAAAAGGAAAGCAAGGATATGACAAACATGGAATTTAGGATAATGGTTAAAAAATAAGAAAGGATAACAGCTACTTCAGGGGGGTATGCAAGGAGATGGGGGAGCCAGGTGGGTGGGTACATACAGGTCACTGTTCACAGGTTCTAAGTACATTATTAAAATTAAATAAAAGCGGGCCATGCAGGCCAAGCAAGGAAACTGTCATGAACCAAGGATTGTGATTAATCAGAGCATGTGCACCTGAGACCCAGTGAGATGAGAAAAAGGAATGAATGAAAGAAGGCCCTAAACAGTGAAATGAAATGAAATGAAATAAATAAAATAAAATAAAAAATATAATGAATGCCAGGAAAAAGAGAGCTCATCAGATGATAAAATTGTGTATGTGAAGGCCGGCCAAGTGGCTCGTT